CAACACTTCCTAAAATTTTTCTGCTCAAGTCTTAAAAGGAACTCATACTTACTAGAAGTCATCAAATTCATTCAGTTTAAGTGATAAACTGTGGCTAAAATGTAAGCTAACTGAGATTTTGAAGGTAAACTGATCATCTTTTTCTTCTCTAATCACTTCTCTTACTTAAATCAAAGGTCAAATTATTTACCTAAGAATTTCTTTTAGGAATACTCATTCTATGATTAAATCTATACTTTCTTTTTAATATATTTTATACTATTAATTGTATCAAGCAAGTTTAAAGTAAAATTATTTTACAATACTAGTAAAATACCTGCTTACTCTAAGAAGAATAAAATCCTTTCTCTCAGGCCTGGAGAGATAGCTCAACAAGGGGCTCTTCTAGGGGACTAGGCTTGATTCCCAGTACCTACATGGTGGCTAACTTACAACCTCTATAACTCCAGCTCCAAGGTATCTAACTTCCTCTTCTAGCTTCTGCAGACCCTAGGCACACACATGATACACAGACTTACATGTAAGCAAAAAAGACTAATTTTAAAAATCCTGACTTTTTTTTTTTTTTTTTGGTTTTTCGACACAGGGTTTCTCTGTGTAGCCCTGGCTGTCCTGGAACTCACTCTGTAGACCAGGCTGGCCTCAAACTCAGAAATCCGCCTGCCTCTGTCTCCCAAGTGCTGGGATTAAAGGCGTGCGTCACCACCGTCCAGCCTCCTTTCCATCTTTTAAAGATATATTCTATGCATACAAATATTCTGTTCACATGTATGTTAGGTGTACCTATGCATGCCTGGTAACTGTAAAGGCCAGAAGAAGAAGTCATATTCTCTAGAACTGGAGTTATAAACTGTTATAAGCCACCATGTGTGGGTGCTGGGGAGAAAAAAAAAAACACATTTTCTGCAACTGCAGCAAGTGCTCATAATCTCTGAGCCATCTCTCAAATTCCTTTTTATAAGTCATTCATTAAGTATTTATTAAACATCCTCTATGTGCATAGCAATATGGCAGATTGCAAAGCAATCTCAAAATAAGAGGCTTGGGAATATAGCTCAGTGATAAGCATATCTGACTGGAATGCAGAAAGCCCTCTTTAATTTTATAAAATATATGAAATCTTTTTTCTTTACTTTTTTTCTACTTCTTTTGTTGTCGCTGTCGCTGTTGCTGTTGTTGAAGGGGGTTTCTCTCTGTTAGCCTTGGCTGTCCTGGAGGAGCTTGCTTAAACCAGGCTAGCCTTGAACTCATAGAGATCTGCTAGCTACTGTCTCTGGAGTGCTGGGAGACATTATATTTCACAGACAACACTAACAGTAATACCACAGGCGATACTCCAGGATGGAAAAACCAAAGCTTGTAAGGTTTTCATGCAAAGCCCCATTCAAATGACAAGAGAAACACCTTCTGTGCCATCTTCCCAATCCTCTGGAGTAGACTGGGATTCTGAATTCTTCATTCCTCTGTAATTATACTATGCATTCATATGTTACATGTAGCCTCATTATACACAAAATATACTATTTCATACGGCAGTATGACTTGACAGGCCAATGGAACGTTAGAGGAACAGAATCTGCAAATATGCCAGTGAGACTGGGATTGCCCTCTGTCACTGCCTTGACACACGTTGCTCCTAAATAGGTAGGTATTACTCTTCCTCCCTCCAGATTTGGGCTCACAAAAAGACAAATAAAACAAAATAAATAGTTGCTACATGATATGAAGATTTTGTGGCTGTAGATTATCTTGTAGCTAAGGCTATTAGCACCCACCATACTCAGATTCGGTTGGCACTGATGATATAAAGCATGCATCTCTTTTAAAACTCTGTGGGTAAAGAACTCCCCTACCTCAAAAAAGGTGTTATATACAAATTAACTCAGTATAGCTAAACTACAGAGAAAAAAAATACTCATTTTATCAAGAAACTCAGGTAACTGTTGTAGTGTCCAAAACTGAGAAACACAAATGAAGATTAATAAACTTGCAGTTACTTGATAAAATTCACTAACCACTCAATAATGCTAAACAGATGACTTTCTCACTTTAGACAACTATATTCCTGAAGAGAGGTAAAACTGAAATATAGACAGAAGAATTATTTCAAATGTATTACAAAAGCTAACCCTCAAGCAAGCCTGAATTACCTTATTAAAGCTGGTAGTGCATTTAATAAATTTTTATTAAAATAATTTACTTTGAGCAAGTACATCTCTATTTTCTAATAAATTCCAATTATTTGAATACCAACTGTTCTTAGAATTAAGGAGTCCAAAACTTAAAGTAAAAGGGATTTATCATTTTCAAGAGAAATTATATATTTAGTAAACTTGACTTGGTAGCTCATACTTGTAATCCCAGTGCTTGGGAGGCTGAGGCAGGAGAACTGCCAGGAGCTTGAATCCAACCTAAATTACACAGAGTTGCAGGACAGGCTGCCCTAAAACAATGCCACCACCAAAGATAGCTTATCCAGGATCCTAAAGAATGACGTAGTATTAGTCTTGCAGTATTTTTTCTCCTATTCAACTACATCAATTGCACCCACAGTTCCATCATTCGTCAGTATACCCCAGATCTACACAGACACTTCCTAGTCACTGTACTTAATGAAGCTGCACTAGATGATCCACTATTGGGCAAAGTTTTCTGTCTGTTTTTTGTTTGTTTGTTTTTGTTTGTTTCCTATAACAGGGTTTCTACGTAGCCCTGGCTGTCTTAGATCTCAACAGTTGGTATATCTAGGTAGACTAGGCTAACCTTGAACTCACAGAGATCCACCTGTTAGACAAAGTTTTTACACGATCAGAACCATGGCAGTGCATGATCAGTACCTGCACCACTAGTTTACAAATGTCCAAGCCTCCTTTCAAAATTGACCTGGCAAAAGCATTACTTTATCTCATGTTCCAATTACAGGGAGAGGAAGTTGTTGCTCGCTCTGCTGCTGTTGTTAGCACCAAGGAGGTAGGGAAGGATACAAGCTATAATCCTGGCTCCACAATTTACTATGTGATGAGTTACTTAAAATTTTGTACTTAATTCTCTCTCCCTTGCTGTAAAAGGGGAACAATAATAAAAACCTATAACACAGAACTGTCAAGAGGACTGGAGGAGAAAATATATGTAAAGCTCATTTAAGACTTGTTGGTACATAGCAGGCACTCAGTAAACTCAGCTATTACAGCTCTGAAATCCAGCTTCAAAGATGCCATCATCTAGGACTACATAACACAGGGGGAAAAAAGACTGAGCTCACTTTTATACAAGGATTCTTTAAATATAACCCTTTTAAAAAGAGGATAAAATCCATTTACCAAATAATTATTTTGAAATCAATGGGTTTTTTTTTCCTGATTTTTATCAGTTCTGGTCACAAAGACGGGTACAACATTACAAACAAGAATCTGCAGTCTAAAGATTCTAAAAAAGATCAAAATTTTAAAACAAAATGTTCTTGGGTTTCTGCTCACAGAATGACTGCTTACGTGTCAAGGCCATTTTTACTCTTTTCCTATTTTACAGGAGCCACATGACTTGTGGTTAGAGAATTTAAACAGCTAACAAAGAAATCTGGAGAAAATGTGTTCAGTTTTGCTTCAAAAATAATTGAAACAATCAAAAATATTAAAATATCAAGTTTCAGTATGTAATCAAAATCAGATTTTCCAATGATTTTTTAACAATACACAGATTCATCATTAAAATTCTAAATATAATGGGGCTTGAGAAATGGCTTAGCCATCAAAGGCTAGACTCAGAACCAAAAATATAAAATACTATATATTAGTCAACAATAGACATAGTATCAAATTCACAAAAGGAAACTTCAAACTTTCATTCCGTATTTTCCCAGGACAGACCTTTAAAATGTAAATTAAACAAGTAATCTGTGTCTAATACAGTAATGAAGAATTAATTGAATCTGAAAATTACTTTTTAAAAAATTGGAAAATCAACCCTGTCTCGAAAAACCAAAAAAAAAATTGGAAAAACCATAATTTTGTCTACTCATTTTTAAACGCATACTTCATGCGACTAATTTAAGAATTCGTTCCTGAAATTTTCTAAAAGCGAATCACAAAAGATTGTTGCTTGAAAATACTGCAATGAGAAAATAAGTTGTTGTTTTTTTTTTTCTCAAGGCGACTGAGAATTGAAGAGGAAATGGCCAAAGGAAAGGGGAGTAGCATTTCCTTTCACACGTTAGGAAAATGTCAAAGAACTTTCAGGAGTCAAATCTCCTCGAAGTCTGATGTGAGGTCAAAGTTGTCTCAATGACAGGAAAACCAACAGACGCCAGATGACTAATAGAAAAGTTATCAAAAACACTTCTGTGCCCAGCAGTAATTCCAAAAGGATACAAAGTTAGAATGTCCAGGATGAAAAGACAGAGAATAGTTAAGATTCTTGGGAGCAAAACAGTATTAATGATGACAGCAACAGTGTTACATTCTGTATCAAATGTTACATTCTGTATCAGTGTTACATTCTGTACTCTGACTTCCTCGGCCTTTATCCTATTCATCATGTAACATTTTTAAATAACGAAAAGTAACGTGGATTCCCAAAGAGTGATCTAAATGTAAAAATAAGGTTCAATCATGTGTGTCTCTAGTTCTTTTTATTGTAAACCAAATCTGCTTCTTTCCATCAAAATAAAAAAACCTACCAGCTTTATCTCCAAAAATCTAATAGACAGTTCACTAGTGATTAAAATATTATTTTTAATTCTTGCATTACCTCACAGCTAAAAATGTCAAGATACCACACCCAATATGTCTTTTTCCCCCCTCCGTGGGGGAGGGGTCAGGGAATACTGGAGTACGGACGGGAAACTACACGCAAACACCGAAGGTGATTTCCCCGGCTGGCTCCTCCACCCGGATCCGAGAGCACGCGTTCTGAGGGGCGAGCACAGGCCTCGGCCTCTGCGGGCTCCCTCCCTCATCACCCGCAGGGGTGGGAGGTGGGACACGCCACCTAGGGCTACTCACCAGCCGTAGTGCTGACCAACAGGACGGCCCATAGCAGCCAGGGCACCCGAAAGGGTCGCTGCAGCGAGGAAGTCATCCCTGAGCCAGCCAAGAAGCAGGAGGGCAAATAAAAGAAATCTGGAAAGTAAATTCGGGCGGAGAAATCCGGCCAGGAGGCTGCTCTTCGTCTGATTTATCCTGCCCGGATTACAATGCAGTTTGAAAGGACAAATGGCAGATGCGAAGACCTAGCTTGTAGAGCTCTCATTCCACTGCAGAATTTCCCTTCATTTCGCTCCCTCGTGGCTGGGGGGTTTCATTCGCCTAGGACGAGGTGCCTCGACTCCCCAGACTGAAGGCATGTCCGTGGGGCAGACGCAGGGAGCCCAGAAGAAACCCCTGCAATTATTTCCCTCGTAGTTTCACGATATCAAAAAAATATCCAGATCTGGGAGAAAACATATCCAGAGTGCCGAAGGGTGGAGGGCGGGGACTCGATGGGAGCACTGAGGATCAGAACAAGTTCCCGACCACCGGGAAGGACGAAGCGAGGCAAGCAGCGGCGCCCGGCCGCCCGAGTCGCATCGCTCCGGACTCGGAGGACAGTGGGGTTCCTTTTAAAGTTTCGCTTCGTTGCTTCCCTTCACTCGGATTTCGACATCAACAAATCTTTTCCAACAGCAGGGTCGAAAAAGGTGCCTGCTTCCATGGGCGAGCCCACAGCTTTCACGGAACAATCGCTCGAGGGTCGGGCAGGCCGGGCCTCCGGGTCGCGGGGGAGGGGAGGGTCGCGACGGCGCGACGAGCCCGGGCGAGCGACACGCGGGGAGGTGCGGGGCTGGCCCTTCGAGGGCGCTCCGCCCGCGGCCTCGCTCTCGGCTACTCCAGCCCCTCGCTCTTGCCTGAAGTAAATTCCACCATGAAAACCCCGTCTCCTCCGGTCGATGGCTTGCGTGAGCGAATCACAGCCCCTCTGGAGAAAGCCTCCGCCGCCGCCGCCGCCGCCGCCGCCTCGTTCTCCGCAGCTCTGGGCTCCGGGCGGAGCTCCGGCGTCGCGGGCCGAGGGCGGGGGGCGGCGGGAAGACGGACGTAGGTGGCCGAGGAAGGGGTGGGCAGCAGATCTTGCGAAACACCCTGAGCCCCTCCGGGAAGCACCTCCAGTGGTTCCGAGCAGACCAGACACAAAGGGGGGAGTCGCCGCAGCTGCCAGTCTGAGGCGCTCCCGGTCACCGGAGTCGCCCCGCCTCCGCCGCCGCCTCCTCTCAGTCTCCGGCTCTCCAGCCGACCCCTGTCTGTCTCGGGCCTGTGGTGCAGCGCGGGCGGCGGCGGCGGCGCCAGAGAGCCGCACTGCGCTTGCGCGGCCGCGGCCCCGCCCGGCCCCGCCCCTCACTCCCAGGCTAGCTGGAAAGCGAGGCCCTCGCGCGGCGTGTCTCGCCCGGGCGCCCGGTGCAGGGAGGGGCTGTCGTGGGGTGGGCAGCCTAGGTCCCTTCCCTCACGCACGCGAACGTTCCGCACGTGGATGCCGTGCGATCTGAGCAAGCGTGTAAGGGAGGGTGGCCACAATCTTTTGTTTAAAGTAGGCAAAGGCTACTCAGGAAGGTGGGCGAAAAGCCTCGAAGGCACGCTGTCGTTGTTTGTAGCGGCGGGCGCATCCTCCTCGGTTTCCCTGAGAATCCCGACCGAGCCGCCTTTCCCAGAAGCCGAGACCCGGGCCGCGTCGGGTCCCCCTCCCGTCGCGGCGCCAACAAAAGCCTCAGTCGTGAAGACCGCGAAACTGACGTGTGCGCGCTAGTCTGGGTCGGGCTTTCCTCGAGCAGCCATCCCCGGGGCCTTCTTGAATGACAAGGCTGCTGAGCAATTACGAGCATGCGAAACCGGCGAGAAAAACTTAAGCTCGCACACGCTGGCCTGCTGTGCGTGCGCGTCTCCAGCTCTGCCCGCACCTCTCCCGGGGAGGGTTTTATTCACAAAGGCCCGAGGGTCTTTGCAGGGCCTGTGAAGGGAGAACTGCGACGCAGAGTAGTTGCCTCCAGATATGGAGTGGGGTCCTAGCTCCTCACTCAGCGAATGGAGACAGTACCGCCTGCACTGCAGTTTCCTAATCACTTTAAACCTCTTTTTTTTTTTTTTTTAAAAAAAATCTCAAATTGGTTTGATTCCGACAACCAGGATAAGGGAAGGACCCCCTGCGGGGTCAGCCGACTTGGGTGGGATTTTGCTAGGGGAGAGGGGAGAAGATGACGTGCTTGGCGCCATGATCGGAAGTCTGGGTTTAATTCTTTAACTGCGAGGTGGAAAAATTGCGTGGGAGGGCGATCTTAAGGGGTGAAGTCTAGCCCTCCCTTCTCCCAGTAGCCAGAAAGGTTGTTCTGAAGGCTGGTTTTGCCGGTCTTTCATTGTGGCTAAGGGCAGTTCCAGGATACATTCATAAACACACTCCTCAAGCCTTACAGTTCGCTTGCTTATTCAAGCCTCCTTTTATCTCTTTATCTGAACGTGATGTTAAGTTAATAATCACATTCCTTAAACTGGTTTCTGTTATCATAGTAAATATCTGCTGTAATTAATAGTTGTGGTAATATCTGCCCAGGGCCCTTTTTTAGCTGAAATATTTTTATACTGTTTATCCTTCAGGCAGAGATTTTTTTTTCTATATAATAAAATACCTTTTGAAAAATAAGGAGCATATGCATTAACTCTTTAGCTTTAATACCATATTTTGTTTCGCCTAAAAGGCTTAAAAGGAACTGGTATTGTTTTAACATTTAGCTTTCAAGACATGAGATCTAGTTGTCAAAGAAATTGAAGGTGCAGGAAGTTTATTAGCTGGTGAAATACAATTTTTCTTCCTTGAATTGAGGTCAAGTACTTTATTATTCAATTATTATTTGCATAAAATTTTCCTAAGAAACATTAAGTACCCTTATACATGTTATAAATGTGTAATAAATTATGTAGGAAAAAAGTCTTAGGAAATTGATGTGGGAAAAGTTCATGCCACTAACTTAGCTGGAATAATTAATCAGCAGACCTCGATTTGCATGCAGCCCTCGTTCCTTTTCTGTTGCCCTTACAGTCGAGATGTGACTATTCCCATAGAGAAGGAACATATAGAAGAATTAAAACTTAGCAATAACTTATCTTCTAACACAAGGCAGGCAACACTAGTCTAATTCTGGTGAAAACAGAACTGGGCGAGCAGCGTGGTCTGGTCTGGTCTCTTTGGTGATCAGGATGGGCTACATTGTAATAACATCTCACAAATCCCCATCACTAACTTTTGAGGCAAAAATTTGTGTTTGATAGGAGCATTAGTGGGCCTATCTTGTGGTCTGTATGCAGCTTGAGAGCATCTCTATGGGATCAAGGAAGGCAAGATTAGAGAGTAGACTGATTTCTAACATAGTTGCAACTGAGGCTTCAGCCAATCTGCAGGTGCTCTGGGGATGGGGTGGCCTTTCATTGTCCTAAAATGTAGTAAGACTCAAATTGCATAGACTCTACCCAGGGTTGGAAGGTGCCTTAAGCCAAAAAAAAACCTTCAAAGAAAGATCCACCTGAGAATTGTCAGTTACCTGGGCTTTGAATGTGTCATGTGTATTTGGGAACTTAGCATAGTGCTCTTCCTTGCAGTCCTGAGGTCCCTGCTTTGCTAGATGCTTCATTAAGACATAGACTTTCAAGATTTCCAGAGTACGGATTATAATTGCTAGTTGTTCAATGTCTTGCTCTAGCTGTTTTTAGGTTTTCTTGATACAGGGTTTCTCTGTGTATCCTTGGCTGTGATGGAACTCACTTTGTTGACCTCTCTGGCCTTGAACTTACAGAAATCCACCTACCCCTGCCTCTCATGTGCTGGGTTTAAAAGTGTTCACAATTGCCAGGCAGTGGTGGCACACTCCTTTAATCCCAGCACTTGGGAGGCAGAGGCAGGTGGATTTCTGAGTTTGAGGCCAGCCTGGTCTACAGAGTGAGTTCCAGGATGGCCAGGACTATACAGAGAAACTCTGTCTCAAAAAACAAAACAAACAAACAAAAAAAAAAGTGTTCACAACTGCCATTCAGGGGTCTGGCTGTTTAAAAAATAGACAAATATCTTCTACCAGAAGCAATGTGTATTCTCATTTTATTAGCCAGTGAAGTCCCATGGCCAAATCTAACTTCAGAAGAGTAGGAAATACAGTCCTACTATATTGCTAGAAGAAGACCCTGAGTACTGAGAAAAGCTCTAGCATCATCCACATGCCCAAGGGATAATCCCTAGTACTCAAGTTATCAAAAGCCCAATAAGTAAGGTATTCTAATATATGGGGTAACTTGGAGGTCAGGAATCCAGGGATGAAGGGAAACAACACAGAAATCCAGGTAGATAAACCAACACCATCTGAAAATCTGATGTATCCTCATTGTGTATTACAGTCTTTCATGGAGTCTGTCTTTCCTTTGAATTAGAGAACTGACACAAAGCAAGGCCCAGGTTAGAAGGGGACATTAGTTTGGGAATTTTAATTGAGATAGAGTCCCAATATACAGCCCTGGCTGGCCTGGATCCTGCCTTTTCAGTGCTGTAATTACAGACGTAAGCCAACTGACCTGACTTCGACAGATTATTAGAGTAAAGTCTAAAGAGAATTCAGAGTTCATGTTCTACCAATTAAGACACATCGGAGTTGACAGAGCTCAGAAATACTAAATTCTGAGAATAAACTACAAAATCATTAAAAGAAGAAGAAGGAAGAGGAGGAGGAAGAGGAGGAAAGAAAGAAGGAAAGAAAGAAAGAAAGACAGAGAAAGAAAGAGAAAGAAAGAAAGAAAGAAAGAAAGAAAGAAAGAAAGAAAGAAAGAGAGAAAGAAAGAAAGAAATCAATCTTAGCTTTAGCAGAAAAGCAGTGCAAATATCCAGTGTTTGGCACTGAGATACCTATCCAGGTCAGAATAACAGAAAATGAAGCTGTTCAGGGCTAGAGAGATGGCCCAGGTGGTAAGAACCATGGCAGCTCACTCTGGAAGACTAGAGTTTGTATCCCAGCATCCATGGTGCTCACAATCTGAAGCTACAGGTCTAAGAGACCCACACCCTCTTTCAACCTCCAAGGGGATATGCTCATTCATGTGCACATACCTTTACACAGATGCACACTCTCAAATCTTCAAATTAAAAAAACATGCTTAGAAAGTTTAGGATTTAAAGCCAGGCAGTGGTGGCGCACGCCTTTAGTCCAAGCACTTGGAAGGCAGAGGCAGGTGGATCCCTGAGTTTAAATCCAGCCTAGTCTGTAAGTTTCAGGACAGCCAGGACTCCACAGAGAAACCCTGTCTCATTGCCATGCCCAGCCCCACTCCCCAAAAGAATGAAATTCTCCAAAGAAGATTTCAATTTTCCACAAATTTTTAAAAATGTATTATTACTGGGGTAAAGGAAAGTTCCAGGGTTCTAACGCAAATTACACAGCAAGCACCTTTACCCACTGAGCCATTTCACCAGCCCCTTTTTTCCACAATCTAGTTGATTTAGTCTGGACTTCTCTACTGACATAGAACTCTTCCCTACTGATGCCAGAAATGCCCTGCTGCTCAAAGAAGTACATAAGAGAATTTTTCTACATGGGACCTTTTGTTCTTTCTTTCCTTCTCTTTCTTTCTCTCTCTCTCTCTCTTTCTCTCTCTCCCTCCATATCTCTCTCTCTCTCTCTCTCTCTCTCTCTCTCTCTCTCTCTC